CAAACTGGCAACTATGTTCATCCGGGAACATGACCAAACCGAATTGGTTAGAGTGCAATCGGATAAAAGAAATTCCTGTGAATGGGATGTGTTTTTACATAAGATTCCTCAGAACTTTACAGCCACGCTGAATTTCTAAACTGAAATTATCCAAATTTATTTGGAATAGAATTACAAATGCCGACACCTAATAGAAGCTATGGCGACGGTAATTGCGCCACTTCTTTAAATGGTTTCAGTGAGGTCTAAAATATTGTCTTTAATCTAAACCTTTAGAACATTATAGACGAAACAGAAGGAGAATTAATTGATCTGCTTAGCTTGCAAGAAAATTGCACCAAAGAATTCCGAGAAACAGTGAAGTTCTTTGGAGAAAAACCAACTTCAGCTACTACAGAAGATTTCTTTGGTATTTTTGCAGCGTTTATTATGAATTTCACGGTGAGTGATTCTATTATGTAACGTTCCGTTTTTGAACAATATTGCATGAAATTGCTGCGAGAGCGCTTTTCAATTGAGTGTCGAAAAAGTCGAACCATATCACAACAGCCAATCAGAGGAAAGGAGAATATACCTTGAAGAGCCAATTAGAACTCAGAGTAAAAACTGCAAAGCGCTTTAAACGCGGGAAAACGCGGGCGACCAAGTTGTGTTTGGTTTTTTAGTTTTGGAACCGATTGGTTGAGAGAACGGTGCACGTTTTCTCGACCGATCACAGGGCAAAGCAAATGTTGGATTACTTCGTCGCTCTCTTCGTCGTCTCTCTCTCTTCGTCGCTCGCCTTGGGATTCGTCCAAAATGAAAATGTGCTGTCAACTCTCTCTTATTGTTATAGTTATTATTATGATTCATAATTGTGTTTTGGTTTCCACTGTAGAGAGCACATGCAGAAAACGTATCGAGACAGAAGCAGAAGGAAGAACAAGCCAAAAGAGAGAAGCAAAGAGAAGTATGGCCTCATTGTTTCGTTTCTTTTCTTTAATGGAAATTCCTTTTCCTTCAATACCCTGGATGTCTTCCTTCCGGATTCATACTTTATCCTCTCTTTGTTTTCTTAATTCATACCTTCAGTGGTAGTGCACGCCATGGTTGCGAAATAGGGTGTTCATCGTTATTTGTCCGATCGTACATTTATTTGATTATTTTTTAATTTCATTTTTATTACTTTTATCGTTATTTGTCTTATTCGACGCGTATGATACTTCAGTTAAAGTCAATCTATAGAATGTTTATGTATTCTTGTATATTTTTATTTTTATGCGACCATGTTTGTTTATTTGCGTTTTTTTCATTTAAATGTTTGTTTTATTAAGTCACTGTACATAGTATATACACTAGTAGGACTAGAGATTCCCGGAATAGCGAAAGGTGGAGCCCCTGTTCACCGTGTCGACTGTCCCTCGCCGTATTGTATAGTTAGTTGTTCTGTCCGTCTTAAAATAACACACACGCTGCTTTTGTTTTATCTAGGAACGCACAAAACAGCTAAAAAGTTTCAGAGAGCGAAGTATGAGTGATCCTGATTTTGAACCTAAAGATGAACTTCAAGAAAGCTTCAAAAAACGCCGTATAAGCAGTGAACAAAGTAATGACAGTGTATTTGGTTTGCCTTCTTCACCTCGAGTGGCATCGTCAAACTCGCCCTCTTCCCCTCGCGTAGCATCGCCTAACTCGCCTTCTTCCCCTCAAGTAGCATCGCCTGACCCGCCTCCTTCCCCTCGAGAAGCATCGTCTGACTTGCCCTCTACCCCTCGCCTAGCATCGCCTAACTCGCCTTCTTCTCCTCGCTTTGCATCACCTAACTCAGTCGTGAAGCCTGTGGATACTCAACCGAGTGAAGAACCTCTTTGGACGGTGGTGGATGTTAGTACATCACTTCCCAACAAAGAAGCTCCAAAGGTTGTTTTAGAGCCTGCAAAAGCGCCGATGGTCACTAAACCGAAACCTGCACCTCCCCCCAAGATGAAGCCAAAGTCGCCGCAGTCGAACGCACCCCAAAGCCCTGTAAAAACATCGGCTCCAAGACCAAGTAAACCCGAGCCACCAAAATCTGTTTCAAAACCGGTGAAACCGGTTCCACTAAAACCTGTTAACTATGCTGGAAAAATTAAAGTAGGCGGAGCTGACGAAAATGTTAGTAAAGTGGAACTAAAGAAGCTCGAGATAGAGAGGAATGACGGTAACGATTCAAAAACGAGTATTTCACCTAGTATGGGAGTGAAAAGTATGCTATCGGTATTTGAAGGCTCTGGACGGGAAATGCCAAGTTACGCCAAACCCGATATGACTCAGAAAAAGCCCAAGTCTTTCTTCATCAACAAGGGGGAAACTCCTAGTGCTCCTATTGTAAATGACAATCCAATCGAAGAAGAAATCCACTCTAATGAATCTCCACCTATTCCTGATCGTAATTATTCTGAGGAAGATATATCGCTAGCTACTAAGTCACGGCCCGTGTCTCCACCTTCACCGGAACGCGACGGTTCCACTCAATCTTCACCCGAACTTGATGGTTTTAACTCGTCGAAATTCGACATGACTTTAGACGAAAGCACTCCGGAAGTTGTCGAGAATCCTTACGAAGTCGTTGAACCTCGAACTGTAAAACCTTTGGTCCCATCTGCTCAGGAGAACCCTTCACCTCCGCCACCGCCGCCCCATAATCGCAAAGTAAGCAGGAAAGATATGCCCCCAGCACCTCCCGGTCCTTACAAGGACAGGCGCCCATCACCACCTTCACGTGATGCCAGTCTGCCTAAAGTGGATCCGGATTATGCAGAAGTTGGACAACTTCGTCGCAATGAAAGTCCATATTCCGAAGTTGTGGATAGGTCTTCGACGCCCGAAGTGGAGGCGTACTTCACTAGGGATGTCGTTGCTGACTTCGTGACCAAAATGAACGATGCAAAACGTCAGGCTCCTCCCAAACCACTTCCTTACAAAACGAAAGACGTCGTGGCAGTTGAAACAAAGGTCAGGGCACCACCGCCTAAGCCTGCTCCCTTCCGACCGAAAAGTATTCAAGATAGTTTTCCGAATAGCATTGTCACGTCGCAAGAAGAAAGGCTCCAATCGCCAGAGACTCCGTTTTCCCCCAAGTTCCCTGTCGTTGTGCCTGGTTCGCCCACGCTTTCGTCTGCTAAACTTCTCAATTCTTCGTCACCTCCACTAAACAGGCCGCCGCCACAATTTAAGCCACCGCCTCCTCCAAGGGTATCTTCTATAGCTGGCACTGTTAACGATGACGTCATCAAAGCATCGACTTCAGTGATTGAAGCTCGCAATCTGTATTCTGGCGTGGAAGTTAATGGTGGGTTTGACAAAAATGAAATCCCTACTCGAGATATAAACGGTACGTTACAGTCCAAGCCAGCATTGCCTTCAAAACCTCTTGTCGGCCCCAAACCATTCCAGGCAAAAGTGGACATTGGACCGCCAAACTTTAAACCTCCGCCGCCTTTATTGTCGTCATCTCTCTTCACTAGAGCCAATGGAATCACATCTGACTCGATCACGTCCGACCGTGAAACAACTGGAGCTCAGAACGGTACAGATAGCGTCAACATAGTGGCTCCTCCCCCGATGGATTACTTGTATGGCAGGTCTGAACGATCTGCTTCAAGAACAAGCCTGGATTCCTTGGATTTGAAAATCGTCCCTCCACCACCGATGCATTTCAAAGAATTTGACAATAACAACGATACAGAAACTGTAAACTTAGACTTGAATCTGCAAGCTTTATTTCCGCCGTCAGGCTGGGAAGAAACAACTGACAATAACAACATAAACGGTTCGTCTAACTCAAGGAAGGCACGCAAAGGGCTCAAGAGAGGATCTCAGAAAAGCAACGATTTGGCGGATTTTGATCTTGAAATTGTTCCCCCTCCCCCGCCAACTTTGCCACCCCCAACACTACCCCTCTCAAGTCAGGCTGACTATGATTTAGAATTGATGCCTTCAACTCTGTCTTACGAACCAGGGGAGTTGAATATCGACGATATCCTAGGAGACTTTGAACAAAACCTGTCAATTCAGCCAGACTATGAAGATTCTTTACCTCCATCTCCCCAGTCACCTGTAGAGCGTTACATGGGAGTGCCCCCTCCCCCAGGGGATGGACTTATCAAGCCTCTAGTACCCCCGCTTAGGAAAGAAAGATAACAAAAGTAGGTGACGGAATGATGGTATGATCCAACTTCATGTCACGTCGAAGTTGTTCTCCTTGAGACGTCCATGTAATATTTTACTTAATTAGCCCCGTTATTTGATTAAGAGAGATTAAGAGTGACTTAATAATATATAAATATTTTCATTTGATACAAAGCAAGCGCGATACCGTAGTTGTATGCGTATTTATATGATGGAAAAAGATATGCCGCTCTCTCTTTGGCGAGAGATTGATCAATATCTTAGACCATTGCTAGAGAGATATCTTTTTTAATTGTATGAAAAGTGTGAAAAGTGATCAAACCAAAAAGCTTGGCACGTGTTATTTAGGGCCCCAGTATTGATTGAGCCCATAATGGTTGCACTATACTAAATATACATATTTAGACTCGATGCTGCGCTTAATTAGTCTGTAAAATTGACGTTTTCGTCCGTCGCGGCTTAATTTTTGTAAATAATCTAGGCAGTAGTGATAAAAGACTGAAAACCCCAAAACTGTTCTTTTACATTACAGCAAGTGTGAAATTTACCCCAGATATTAAAATTCTATTAGAAATTGATACAATCTTTTGTCTAACGAATGTTACAGATATTAAAAGCTATGTTTTTCTACCGAACTGCGCACGCCATACAGTTGATCGCTGTCTTCAGACTCATGGAAAAATGCAACCGGCAGAATCACCACTTCTCCTGGACCTTATCGGTTCTCCCAACAGTTCCCTGAGACCTTTTCATCCTCCTTCGCAAGGCTTTAGCTTAAAAATACCGCGCATCAAGAGCAGATCTCTATAGATACAATATGAATGCTAAAACAGAAATAAGAGAGGGGACGTTTGTGCGATAGATTCAATGTTCTTTATTGATTACCCAACGTTGAAACCATTTGTAGGTAAATCACTTTCGTCCACTTGATGCGAGGCATTGCCATGATTTAAGAAGCATTTAACCCTACAACTACCAAGATCTGATATTGCTTCTCCCCCCTAGCTGCTACACATTTCTGTGTCACTTAGTCACGATAATTCGGTGTTAGATCAAGAAAGCCACTTCTACCTGATAAGTCTGAGTTTTTCCATAACGTGTTTCCTTAATAATGCATGGATATTATCGGGAGAAGTCACATGTTCATCACTTCTAGGTGTTAAAAGAGTTAAAGACACTCAATATCCCCAAAATTGATCTCTGAAAAACCCACGGACCCACTTTGATTATCAATGCGATCAGGATGTCTCGTGTTTTACTGGCAATTATTATCATTCACGAATATTCTCTAAAAAAATAGTTTTACTACATGACAGATCATTGGGATACTTAAACGGTGTTGTGATATTCTATACTGCGAATGTAGTAAAGTCGGTGGGGCATGTCAACTTATTCAGAGGTACTATTGGTGCTAACAGTAATCGTAAAAAGTCCAACGATTGTTATTTATTTGCCATGCGAGTACTTGGACAAGGCCGTACGAATAACTGCAACTCCGAAGTCGACATCCTCTTTGGTTATACACATTGGGGGCTTAATACGCATTACCTAAGGCAAAAAAATATTAAAAAATGTCTTAATTTAAGCACAAGAATCTACTGAAACACCCATCAGTTGAAAACCAAATTCTTATAAAAAATAAGGAAGTCGTTTGTTTCAACCCTTGAGGCAAGTGCGTGCGTGCGTGAGGGCGGGCAACAAAATGAGCTGCGCTGTCATACAGCAGATGCCATGAATTGAAGAAGAGAAGACTGAGACAGGCACTGTGTACCAGAAATTATTTGAATTCGAATCAACGTATAACGAGAGTGATACTCGTCTAATGGGAACAAAACTAAATTATCAAAGCAACGACAAAGACAAAGGACAAGGATGATATTAATATCTCTAAAGTGAGTACTTACATTTCCATACAGTCCACCCTTTCCGACAAGAACTCCCATGTCTTTACAGTCTTCCCAGATTGGGACGAACTTCTCGGGAGGCAAAGGTGTCTTTGATTCCTAGGAAATAAAAACGATCTTCGCGTTCTTAAATGTTTAAGACCGTAGAATGATTCATATTCCCACCCAAATAATGGAGAATAAATTGAACTCTCACCTTATCTGTGACAAACTCAACGCCAATCATCAAACCCTTCCCTCTGACGTCACCGATTACATCCGGGAACTCTTTCTTAAGTTGAAGCAGTTCTTCTAAGAAGTATGTTCCCACGACCTCACAGTTCTTTTGTACACCGTCTTCATCAATAGCCTTAGGGAAGAAAAAGTTGGCTGCTTGGTCAAATCTTTGGTTAAAGAGAAATTACAGCAAAGAAATACGGAAAAAAAATTCACTTCGATAAACATCTCCGGCAAATCCGATTGAAGAATCAACAAAAAAACGAGGAAAGTTAAAAAGAGATCTGGTGCCGATCTGACTACGTAACACCAAGCAAATAGCAGACTCCATCCGCTGCGCATGCATCATTAAATGGCGGGAAATCTGAGGAGCCACCAGCCGCAGCACATTTCTGACCAATCAGAATTGAAATAGGCTTTATTCAGCTAAATATTGGCCAATGAAAGTAAATCTT